AAAGAGTTTGAGAGGATGAAAAAAAAAAAAAAAAAAAAAAAACAATGACACTAATATAAAATAGTATACTGTTTGCATAGGATGTAAAACAACAGTACATTTGCGCAAAAAGAAAGTTCATCGCAAACATGACAGTTCATCTAGTTGTTCAAGTGGAATGCAAAGATATGACATGACCTTGGGTCGAATGTCGTCCTCTGAACAGTGGAAAAATTTGATGAAGCAAATCCTATCGAGTACGTGTGATGTTGTTGGTTATAAAAGGTCATTCCGAAGTGTCACACGAAAAGGATTACAGCTAATTCATCTATGTGAATAAAGGTGACCAACCATTGTGATGTCTCTAAGATATCCAATCATTTGATTAGCTTTAAAGTTGCGAGGAACTTAGTTAATTGTAAAATTTTTTACACCAAGCATAAATAGATAGAGAGTGACAGGTGAGAAATGAAGCAAAGTTGTCATCACTTCTTTTTTTTTTTTTTAGTAAAGAAATGAGAATAATTTGAATGAATGTTAGCAATGATTCATGCTATTAACACATAATCGAAATGAATTTTTTTTACAGTTTGCAGAGAAAAAAAAAAAGAAGAAAGTAAGAAGAAAAACTTTGCAAAAAAAAAAAAAAAAGTTAAGCTTAAAAATATTGACAAAATAGAAAGAGATTATTACTCTGTTAATGTAAGAAAAAGAGATACAAAGGAGAAAAGTACTTTTAATCATTCATATCAGATCAAGAAGAGAAAGAGAGAGGGAGAGAGAGGGGAAGAGAAAGAGAAGAGAGGGAATATTACAGCTTGATAAGAAACAATCATTCAATAATCTCTCAAAGCATTTCTTTCAATTAGACCGACATTTTTGAAAACGAAAAGATACTTCAAAATGGGAACAGTTGCAAAACTATTAACAATGATTATTCATTCATTCATTCATTCATTCGTCACAATGCAAAAAGCAACCGCTCTGAACAGAAGAAGTAAGCATTGATTGTGTATAATTAAAATTAATAGCTAAGCTTTAAAATATTAATCATTTATTTAATCATTTCTTTTAAGTTAGTTTAATGATAAATATGCTTAAAATGTATCGTTTTTATAGTTTATAGAGAAAAAAGAAAAAAAGCATTGCTAAGAAAACTAAATTTAGAGATATCAACAAAATAATGAATATATATATGTATATATTTTAGAGTTTTTTTTTTTTTCTTTTTTCAAATCAATCAAATATGTAAAATTAAATAAATCAGAGCACTTAATATATAGCTAAAATCATTGCTTAAACAAATGAAAATTGAAAAGTTGGAAAATTTTCAAATTGTTAAACAGTTGAGAAAGTTATGCAAATAGAAATGAATGTTAACAAAATGAGACAAAAAAAAAAAGTATTATAAAAGTTTAGTAATATTCATCAAAGAATTAACATAGAGCAGTTTAAGTTGAAATACTAAAATTACTGCGACAACAAAAACGATTTAACAAACAAGTAAGTGTCGAAGAGAGACTGTCAGAATGAATAGTAAAAGTTTAATGAAACAAATGAAAAGAAAAAAAAAAAAAAAGTTAATGTGAAATTAAATATTAATGAAATCGAAATTAAGCATAACAATGGATATCTTTATCAATTTATTATACAACTATCTTATTTTGTTACTGTAAAGAAGATGAAAAGCAGATCCAATGATCTAATCGCCAAAAAAAAAAAAAAAAAAGAAAAAAACTTAGTTGGATGGATAATAATTATTATCCACTACTTTATCTTTGACCTTAACGATGCAACGATATTTCTCGATTTTTAACTTTCAATATTTACAGTATTAGTTATATTATTTCAATTCATTAATTATATCATTAAAATATTCCATAATTTCGTAGGAAATCTTTTTTTTTTTTTTTTTTTTCTTTTAACAACTTTCAATTGAATATAAAATAAATGATTAATTAGAGCAAAAAAGAAGAAGAAGAAAAAAAAAGTTGGTTACATTTTCGGAACAGAAATTGGAGAACGAAGAAGAAAACGGTTTTATTTTTTATCTTAATTAAATTAATTTCATTGTTTTTTGTAAAAAAAAAAAAAAAAATAGACAAAATGAATTGAAAGTGCTAATCATTAAAAGAATTAGAATAATAAACAGTGATAGTATTAGTGATAAATGCAATAAGCAATAGTAGCAATAAAAATAAAAATAACAACAACAATAATAATAATAATAATAATAATACCAGCAGCAACAATAAGAAAATAGAAATAATATGAAATGAAGAATGATAATGAAAGGAAAAATGAAAACGGCTAGTGGTTAAGTTAGGACGGGCGGAGATTGCGGCGAAAGATTGATGGAATATTTGAGCATGCTAAACAACAAATAAAATGAGTGATTATCTCAGTCTGCATTTGAGGAGTCAGCTGTCTCTCAATGCGGGTTAAAATATAGAAAGTTTTCACTTTGATTACTTTTAAAGAAAGAGAAAAGAGTGGAAATTACGACAAATGGAGAAAATCTTTTTGGCTATTTGTTAGTTACAATATTGTAGTAATAAAGTAAAACAAAAGAAAGAAAAGAAAAAAAAAAAAATTTAACGAATAATGAAATATAATTAGTGCAAATGTTTTAGTTTACTAATATTATTAGTTAAACAATTTTCACATTTTTGTTATCAGAAAATTATCATTTAATGATTGAATTACATGTGATAAACAAAGAAGAAAAAATCAAGAAGCATACTGAATACTTAGAACATACTACATTTTCAAAAATGGAATGAATTTTCTTGAAAGAATAATAAATGCAAAATGATGAAATAATGTTGATGATAAAATTTAAAACTAAGACTAAAAAATATAAATTTTTAAGAAAATTTCAAATTATTAAACATTTTCAAATCATTAAATTTCAAAAAAAAAAAAAAAAAAAGTTACCCAAAACAATTTGATATTTCCTTCGACCACTTTCATCTTCTGCTATCACAGACAATTTAATAAATTACACAATTAGCATAAAAGAAATGTATTTTTGAAAAGAGTAAAACTAAAATAGATTTTAATTCCATAAAAGAAACTGAATGAATGCTTTTCAAAATTATGAAAAAAGATTTATAACTTAATGATATTTGAAAAAAAAAATGCAAAAAATTAAAATTAAAGAACGATAACTCAAAAAAAAAATATATTCAGTTATTATAGGTTATTAGCAACATAAACAAGGATTAAATCTAAATTAAATAAAAATTAAATTGACTTTTCGAACAATAATAAGTAATTAATTATGTGTACTTAGAAATGATTCCATTAACTAAATTTTATTTTTTTTTCCAATAATTTCGATTATAAATTTATTGAGAAAAATTTCATTATTCTTTCTTCAAATCCAAAATCTTAACACTTCTCACTATGCTTAAATAGCCATTGCTAATATAAACAAATGGGAAATTTTTTTGAGAATTTTCTCGCTACTTATCAGAAAAAAAAAGAGATTCTTTCGTTCTCAAAGGAGTTTTTGCAGCTTTAAAATTTCTCTTCAATTGAAATAAATTTGAAAAATTTGAGATTCCTCAAAATTGATCCAATATTTCTGTCACTTGACACCAGAAATATTAGCAAATGATAAGATTATTTTTAGTAAAGTGACAAAAATTTGAAAATCCCAAAGACTAATCAGTTATTTATTAAAAATGAAGTATTTAAGTTGAAATATTAAAGCAGTAAATATTTCTTTGTGCAACAAATTGATAACTTTAACATGCTTTTTTTTTTTTTTTGCAAAACACTGATGACATATTTATACATATAATCTATTAGAGGTCAAAGGTCATAAGTGATATTAGTGATACCAAAAAATTTTTACAGAAAAAAGTAACCATTGATAGATGAAATATGAAACAAAATATTAACTTTTGCACACTTTATAATTTAGCTAAGAAACCGACTGTTTAGCATTTGATGAGAAAACGAAGTTGGAAAGATGGGAAAAAAATAGTAAGATTATAAGTAAACAATATTTGAAAGTTTTATTTGAATCCTTCTCCATTGCATTCACATTTCAGTGCCTTTTAATACAAACTTTCAAACTAATTTTATTTTTCTTCAAAAATTAACATTCCATGTTAACAAATTAGTTGTCACAAGAATGAAATGAAGAATAAAATTTCAACCATATTTACAGTAAAAGTAATTTTGTATAATAATAAATTAAATGTTGACATATTAATAGCAAAGTATTCCAGTATTTCAATTTTCTCTATTATCATACAGATAATATAATAAATTGATCTCTTTCTTATCTCATCCGTCTGAAAAAATTTTATTCTGAATGTGAAATATTTTCATAAATGGAAAGTAAAAGAAATAAAATTAGTAGACCAATTAATCAAGCATAATTTGATTAAATAAAAAAGTTTAAAAAAAAAAAAAAAAATATGTCCTTACAGTGAATACATTAGAAAACGATAGGACAATATTTAAATGATGGATAATTAAAGTTTAAGTGTAGAAATGACAAATATTTTGCAAATCATTAGAAAACATTCGTTACAATGGCATAAGCTTGATTTTATCACTTTGACATTTCTTTTTTTTTGTCACTAAATGAGGTCAAAATGTCAAAATTCGAAATGTTTAACAATAAATGAAATTGAAAAGCAGTTAAAAATAGTTTGATAATAATCAACATGGAACAAAATGGATGTAAACATAAAAAATGAAGTAAATATTTATTATTATTATTGGAAAACACATACCATAAACAGAATAAACAATTTAAACTGTACCTTTTTTTTTTTTTTTAAACATTATTTCATCTTCATTAGTATTATCCTAAATGATTTGCTAGGATTGAATGTGCTTGCGAAGCGTAAAAGTGTGATATTCACTGGGAAATGTAAGTTCAAATGATATAAACAAACATTCATCTCATTAAATTTAATGCTAATTCAATGAGCTTTATATGCTTACAATAAAAGAACAAATAGGCCAAATAAGCCGGATAAGCATTACGGATTATACGCATGGAGAAGTATCACGATGATTATACGTATGAAAAAGTATTACGGATTATACGTATAGAAAAGCATCACGGATTATACGCATGGAGAAGTATCACGATGATTGCACGCATCACGGACTATATCACGATGATTATATGTATGAAGAAGTATTACGGATTACACAAGTGGAGAAGCATTACGGACGATTAAACGTATAAAAATGTAATGGAAAGAGCGAAACCATCTTCTCACGCATAATCACTGCTATACAACAGCATGCCTGTACTGTACAGCACATTATTTAGTGTGTGACTGCTTGTGCATGTGCGCATTTGCGCCAGTATATCCGTGCGATGATGACACATCGACCGTGCGGACATGCTGGCACCACATTCCGACTAGTGATGAAGGCGCTAGTGGTTCATTTATGTGTCGTCTATTGGGGAGAGCTGCAGTAGTAGTGGTAGTAGTAAGCAACAATTAAGCAAGTGACGGAGAAATGGGTTAGAGGTAGATTAGAGGAACTTTACCTGTTTCAGTGGGTTAGTTGTATGAGAATTTACCTGTTTCAGTGGGTTAGCTGTATGAGAATTTACCTATTCCAATGGGTTAGATATATGACCCATTATCTATTTCAATGTTTATTCTTTATTTAAATATAATTCTAAAAAATATGGAAGATAAAAGTAATTTATTAAATCGATCATAATTCATCTGATTACAGTAACCCTTTTTTTTCCTTTTCGTTTTTTTAATTTTTTACTGTAATTCATTAAATTCATCAAATAAATAACCAATAACCTTTTATTTTTTATTTTACTGTAATTTATCAAATTAAAAAATGTAAAAGCTTGAAAACTTCAAGAAAATGAAATGAATAGCTTTAATGAATTTTTTAATTTTTTTTTTAAATTCGAAAAAAAAAAGTTGTAATTATTAAATAACTGAGCATTTCGAAAAGAAATTTAAGGATGATTTTGCTCAATGTTTAAAATATTTGAATCAAAGCAAGACTAACATATTGGGTTCCGAAAAAGTTGACAACCAATTAATTAATTAATTTTCGTCATGTATCATTTAATGGAATTTTATCGGACTTTAATCACTGAAATTTGAGGAATGTGAAAAATTTTTCATTTGATATTTGACACCTTCTTTTATTAAATTAATGAAAAATATGGAATTCATATTAGAAATGAATGATTCATTTCATAAATAAGTGATTTTCACAAATTTTCAACTACATCTTAATTTTCGAAATTTCTGTAAGTATAGAAATACTCTGAGAATATCGTCCTGTTATATTCAACTTAACATTTTATTTCTTCCAAAATATTTTTCCATCATTTGTCAAAAAATTCATTCCTATACTTTCTCTTCGTTTTTCATGAAATTTTAAAACAGACCAACTCCTTCCACTCATGAATTATAGTGTTAATTAGTGAATTCAATCTGATATTGCAATTTTTGTTTACGCTTTTGAAGTATGATTCTAAAGTTATTTAACATAATTATTAGTGCCACTAAGAATTAATTCCATTTAAACATTAAATGAGGAAACAAATCAAAAAATTTTCAACAGATCAATCTAGGCGTCAAATTCTTAAGTAAATAATTATCCAAAAATTAAAAAGTTGCTAAAAGTAAGCACAAAAAAAAAAAAAAAAATGAGTGGAATAATAGAATCAGAATCAGAAGCAGAAGTTAAGCAAGCTAAAACTATAAGTATTAATAAACTGTTGTATTGTTCATTACTTTTTGAAATTTAAAAGTATTAAATTGTTTCTGTAAATAAATGATAAAATGGTGATTGATCATTGCTATAGCTTATCACTCTGTTGATCACTTCTATCATTTATCATTTTGCTAATAAATTGGATAAAGCATTTATAACTCAGTGTTATCAGACTAAATTGTTCAATTGTTTTACTTAAAAATTGTTCAATTCAGCACGAACAATAGTATCACTTATTTTAAAGATGAATTGTTGATTGAATTGATAAAGTTTTCAATGTTTGTTCTCTTATTGTAACTATCACTCAAAAAATTTCTAATTTAAAGTTAGCCCAGATGATTAGTAACTTATTGCTTATTAACCTTCATTATTGAAATATTTTTGAAAAAAAAAAAACTTTTTTTCCAATTCTCCAAAGCAACAATTAAATTTGCAAGTTGTCAAATAGTTCAAATAGGTTAGATATGTTTATTATTTGTTTGGCTTTTATAATACAAATGAAAATTTCAGTCATTTCTATTTATATTCTCCACAAAGGATTAGATGAAAAATTATAATGTAAAATAATTTATTACTTATTTGTGGTGACAATAGATGCTAGAAATGACAAAACATTGTGACATCAAAATTACTGGATATTGGTTTAACAACATACTTTTACCTATGTAAGTAACGCTTTGCACTACAACTGGAACTACATTAGCCATTCAAAAATGAAATGAACAAAAGCCATAAAGTTAATTAAATAAATTATTAGCTCATTTATTATTCAATTGATCTAGAGGATAACTTTTAATGAATAAAGTTTCAAATCGATTCATTTTGCATTTTAAAATTTCAACTTCGATTATGATTGACTGATCGTATTTTATCGTCCTTTCAAGCAATGATTGAGAGATACGTGGCATTAAATGAAGAATGCATTATGCAAAATACGAAAATAATCCAAAAGTGTCCTTGGAGAAATGCATAAGAAGAATATAATTATGAATAATGGATGGATTGATGGTACACTGAGAATCTTTCTAGTTAGCATATTGGCAATATCTAATGCATCGATAATAAAACATTTTATTGATTGATTAATTTTTAAATCATTTACAATCTAAGCAGTCAGTTTAAAAAAAAAAAGTGAATTTGTTAAAGATGAAAATGTATGAAAGAATTTGAAGTTAGAAAAAAAAATTCATTATGATCAGATATTTGTTATGAGATAGTAATTCTAATTAGAATTAACCTTGTGATTTTTGATGAACTTTAATTTGAACTTTTTTAAATATAAAAAAAAATTAATAATCACTTATAATGAATCACTAAAAAAGTATCACATAAATACCAAATAAACTGATCGGAAGTTTCATATGTGTAATTATTGCTTAACACTTGCTGAAAACATCACTTCAATATACTCTTTTTAATAGGGCACATAAGTTTATTGCATTTTAAAATTGACATTTGTGCTAATAATTATTCAAACTTCCATTTATTTACTCTCTTGTTACTAAAATTTTGCTCTAGCTAAGTTCTATTTTATTTTGCATTGGAACTACTGACTGAATAACAGTCAGATATGTTATCAACAATTACTTATGACAGTAATAAAAGTCGCTAAAAATTTAAAATTGGAATATTTGAGAAAGAGAATTAATTGCATATAAAATAACTTTACATTACTTGAAAATACACTTTGTACTATTTTACTTCGTAAGAAAATTTATGACTAATTTGAAATTAATTAACTGGTAAGTCTATTGCAATTAAAAGAGTTGAAAGTTATGAAAGACTGAAATGAAAAACATTAATTCCTGCATAATTTGGTTATAAATCATCAATGATATGATAATGATAATAATGAATTTGACTGATCCAAAACAAGTAATTGCGAATAATTCTAGCAAATATTTCATATAAACTTTTATACTTTATACAAATAACTTATAAAATTCAGCTCTTTTTCTTCTTTTTCTTCGCAAGAAAATTTATGACTAATTTGAAATTAATTGATAATGATAATGATAATTAATTAATAATGATCATTTAAAATAACGAATGTAAAATCACTATTTTCGTTCCATATCCCAGTAATAGCCTAAAGTTTAATCAATTTTGGTAACCTTATTACTTAGGTTATTACTAGGTTATATTACTTAAGTTACATTCAGTTCAAATGTATTAATAGCCAGCCAATGGTATTTTTGTAATAGGTCATGATTTGATATATACATCCTAGAGCGCATATGTTTCAATGTATAAATCATACTTTCATAATTTGAGTTATTTATTTTATATATGTCAGTTTGACTTAGTTTTGTTTAATTAATTGAAATTTTATTTTATTTTTGAGGCAGCAATAGTAAATAAAATATTTCATTTCTATTTATAGTTTAATCTATTTTCATCGATTATTTGTATTCTTTTAATTTTAATGTAGCGCAATAAGTCTTTTTTCCCTTATTCATTTTACTTTTCTTCTTTTTTTTATTTCTTCCATCAAATTTTTACGATAAATTCATAAAAAAATACAGATTAACATAGAAAAATAAACAAATGATAGCATTTTTTACCCTATAAAAACAGTAAAAAAGAATAGCCGTCTGTTGACCTTTGACACCAATCCACATTAACGAACTTTAACTGTAAGTTTACCAGTCATTGATTCTGATATTTCAGCATAAATCTTCTGAAAGTATTGTAATTATAATAGCAAATACATTACTTCAAGATTGATTCAGGTAAATTCAATCTTGAATTTACCTGAATTTATTCAATTATATTGCTCTCATTGCTATGAAAAAAAAAAGATATGTGGGATTCAAAGTGTCATTAATATTTATTTATGAAATGTTTATCTTACCTGTTTTCCCTGTCTTCTATCCACTTGACATCTTGACAAATCTTGAACTCTTTGATCCTGTAAAAAAGTAATATGATCAAAAATTTTTTAGGTAGCATATACTTCTTATGATTACATTTGCGCTTAATTGGAGAACTTTGGAATACAATAAATATTTCAGCAATCATAAATTCTACTTAATATTCATGCTTAACTCATTTATTTTTTCAAAATCTTCATAAATTGCAAAATATAAGAAGAAATTTATCTGAAGACTAATCACTAATCACTAATCAAAATAATTGAAGGATACCTTTGAACAGGTTGTTGGGACAAGAAGAAGTGTAACTTTATAGATCGTACTTTGCACTACTAAGACATTTGCTTTCAGTATTTTTTCCAATTTAAACAAACTTTGACCTCTCAATTGATCGTTTATTTGCATCATTGATTCATTTACTACATCCTGAAGATTTCATCTTTTGTTCGAGTGACAAATTAGAATTTTAGTGTTTTCGGAAAGTTTATCATTTATCATTTTACCTTTACATCCGGATCATTCTCATACTGAGCATTGGAAGAGCTAATGAAGATTGCCAATAAAAGGATAAATTGTAGCATCTGCAAAAAACACTAAATTAATAATTCGATTGAGAGAGATTCAATACCGAGAATTTTCATTCGAGAGATATTTAAAAATCCCAATAAAACTGCTACGAGAGTGATTTATTGATCGTAGTTTTCTGATTTGTAAAATTATTTACATACATCTATGTTAGTGTATCAAATTTTTACCGAAATTTATGAAAAATTTTATTTAGAAAATTTTTAATTTAATTATTGATGAGTTTTGGCTTAGTAGCTTCTAAAAGAGATAAGAAATTTGAATTAGTTTTCAGTTTACTTTGCCTGTTCGATTATGCCAAAATCATTATCACATAAATGTTACTAACTTTATCAAAATGTCATTCTTTGGTGATTAATTAATGTTTTCATGATTAATTCATTTTTTATCAACTTACGCACTGATAATCTCATATGTCATTTAAACTTTCTGTGATGGCGAAAAGCCTTTTTATTTCTGATTTGAAAGAAATTATCAGTTTATGTGATGAATTGCCATTATCGATAGGCTACTGATACTTTTGATGAACTGAGAAATTTAAAATCCAAGTTAATCATTTCTGCTTTTAAATTCTTAAACGGATTTTGCTCAGTTTAATTACTTATATGAAAGTGATAATGAATAAATTGATTGTTAATAATTCAACACTAAATAGCCAACTATTATTAATACTAGAGAATGAAGTGTTAATTAAAATCTCAATGAAATATCATTAGTTCATATCAGTATTACTTATCATTAATTTTTGTGTTAATTAAAAATGAGCAATAAGTGATAATAACTATAAACTTTTCTAAATTTTATTTTTATCAAAGTTTACCATATGTAACAGTTGATAAATAATTATGCATGAAACGCTAAATTGAAAATTCAAAAAAAAAAAAAAAAAATTAAATTGAAAATTCGTGAAATCAAAAATAGAATCATATCAGCTCTCATAATTAACCGAGAAGCCAAAAAAAAAAAAAAAAAAAAAAAAAGGTACCAATTCATTCGGATAACTTAAATGCTTCAGGGAAAGAGAGTCTACGTTATAAAAACTTTAATAAAGCAAAATTCCTAACATTGATAAATTAGAAGTGAATTTCGAATTTCGAATTTCGGATTAAAAATCAAAGATTTCATTTCTTTTTATAGGAATTTTAGTAGGCGGGTTTTGGATAAAAATTAAAAATTATGAATGATATGTGCGGCTACTTCTTAGATTTTTTTTAAGCTATGTTAGCACATCAGTCATTGTCGAATCTAAACGCAATAGTATTTTCCAACGGCAAAAATTTATAAAAGTTATAGAACGTTGAAATTGTTTATAATATGGAGAATTTTTTAATCTTTTATTATTTATTTTGATACAATAATAATTAATAAAAAAAAATTTTTTTTTTTTTTGATTTTATTTTAATTAATCAAGAAAATTTAAGTTTTATTATGTATAATTCTAAGATAACTGATGGCTCTTCATAATGACAGGTGGATTGAGAGATACACCTGTCATTTAGAAGCATCACCATTTTTTTTAATAAATATTTACATTAGAGTACAAACAGTCCCATTTTTAAATATGAATCTTTAATGCTGAAATCGTTTGCTTAGCAGCAGCAGCAGTTAAGACTAATAAATATGTCTGGCATGAAATAAATATTAAATTTGAATTAATTACTAAGTCTCACTAATCTTTATTTATAATTAAATTTTTAGTAAAAAACCTAACGTAAATTTCAATTATTGCATCGTTAAAGCAAAATTACCTGTCTGATGATTATCTTGCAATCAGATAAAATCAGTCTTTCTTCTCTTCTAGCATAATTTCAATTCTTGTTTCTTTTGATAATTGCATACATATTCTTCTTACTTTTAATTTCATTTACTTTTCTTTTGTTGCAATTCCAGTTCATGCGCAATGTGCATACAAAAAGCGCACATGTCCAGATTGGTGCACGATTTGATTTTTAAATTGAATAGACTAAAACATTTGTAAACATCATATTCAAAATTAAATTAAATTTATGAATGATTAGAGTGTAAAAGTTAGCCAGTGAGATTTATCAATTAGCATTAACTTAATAGACCTGTAAGTTACTGTCAAATTGATTGAATAATAAAGTAATTCTGATCAAAGGTGACAAAATCACATAGGAAAATAGCCAGTCTTGAAATTTTAATAAAGTTATGCAAATGGAACGCAATAAATTTATAGCAATTTTACAAACTGATAAATTATTTCAGAAATCAATTTGCATAACAATGATTAAAAAATTAGAAATCAATTTGTACAACAAGTATAAAAAAGTGATGCTCAGTATCATTACCAAGCCGTAATTAGATCGAACAAAAATTATCACTTTTTGGATAATAAATAAAAATAATCAATCAAAAGTATCAGCAAATAAATTATCAAATGTGAAAGAAAGACAGAGCAAGGCTGGTAATCAATTTCAAAAACTCACATAAATCACATTGTCCAAAATTGATTAATCATTCATTCTTAACGGATACCTGAAGGAATAGAATATCTGAACTTTAAGCTATCCTAAAGTACTCAATAATAAATAAACATTGACAATTTACATGGTGATAATATTGTCGAGCAAAAGATTGATAAGTGACAATTGAAAAAGCAAAGATGATCAGAGGTACTGTGCAATGTAAGTGACATTTAATGATCTTAATTATTTTTAATCAAATTGTGTTCTGATATTGTTTATTCATGCATATATTGATTATATTTCTTTTGCACAAATGATTGAATTAGATTAATTCAAGAAATAAACAAAATTTGGCAATACTGGTAATAGAAATAAATGAAGAAATTTTCAATTTACTGTCACTTTGATGAAACGATATTTGAAATGATTGCAATGTATTACTATGTACTTCAAAATTAGACCATTTCATGTAAAGGTAATATGAATCATAAGTAGAATATTTCCATCATTATCACATCAATAACATTTCCGTAAAGGATGAACTTCACTCTTACACAAACAGAATAACAGTTCAGGTATTGTTGACAATCTTCAGATGATGACTGACAAAAGAACTGAACGAATGAATTCCATGTTTTCCTCGAAAAGCACTCATCAACTTAATTAATAGTTTTCTTCTTGACATTTCAAAAGCAACACCACTAAAAGAAAAAACCCGCTATTTTCATTACCAAAAAGCTTTTACCATCAGTTTTTGTCGTTTATGTTATTCGTTTCGTTACGAAATAGCATATTATGGACGAAAAAAGTAAACCCAATAACACTTATTTAAAATTCAATTTACTGCTCAACAAAATTTTACTGTTACTATTCTCATAGTATGGAATGGGGAACAGTTGGATACTACGATGTAGAATTTGGATCACATCCCTCAAACTATGCGACATGTCACACTCTTATTCGCATACTAGAAAATTGCCAAACCTATGATCAACAAACTTAGTTTCTTTTCGATCATTGCTAGAAAAAAAAAAAGTCCATGTTGAACGTAAAATTGTGATGGAATTACCTTCGTATTAGATGTAAATAAACATGTAAATTGCAGATGTTCTTCCCGATTGTATGGTTGTCAGTGTTACTAATCATATCTAAAAGCTTTGCTAGGGAAATACGATTAAGCAGAGCTACATATAATGAAGATGATGAAGAAATACAGGTATATTATTTCTTATGAATATGCATAAATTTATATTATCAATGATGAAATAGAGAATATATCAAACTGAAATTAAAAGAAAAGTAAAGGTAGAGATGTTCAACGTTTCTTTCCTGCAGGAAGTAGCAGAAAAAGCGATGGAACAAGTGAATGACCAGACTAGATATAGAAATCTCTACAAATTGGTGAGAGTTATCAGTGCTCAAACTCAGGTGGTGGCCGGAATCAAATACTACCTCACAATTCTTGCTGCACCGACCACCTGTAGAAAGGCGAGTCTTCACATTTATTCGAATATTGCGTGAATATATGAGTCTTACAAATACGAATTCTGATTTTCTTCACTGAGTAGTATTCCCATGCTCCATAGAAGTCCTCGTTTTCAAGCACATGCAATGAGACATGAGTCTAAAAAGAAGGTAATGAACTTGAATTACCTGTTCAGATTTATCACATGTCACCATCTCACTTATGAGTGTAATGTTCTGACTCATATTTTATCAACTAAACATCTAAAGATCTTCAAAACCATTTATTCTGCAGGGTGCTGTTGGAATGAATCCAATGAAATGTACTATCGACAGCAGTAAACCGACAAAGGTAAAATATGTGCCATTCAAACATTTTTGTTATCTAACTCAAAATTTAACAGCTTCAAAAAACAAAAGTTTCATCCTTTGAAACTCTTGCTTGCAAATCCATTTATCAAGAAAACAAAAAATGAACTGCAGGGTCAAAAAATTTAACAAATGAGAAAAAAAACCGGCAATTATTCATTCCGTCGTCTTAACATGATTCATTACTCTTTAGCTATCGAAATTACGAATTTTTTCAGCAATTCAAAATAGAAGTTTGGTCAGCACCATGGCAAAACACATTCAAAGTCACTTTGACATGAGCTTCACTGAGTATAATTGCCGTATGTGATAATTCATAAGTAACAGATATCATTCGATAATTCATAAATAACAGATTGTGAAAATTAAAAGAAATATATCACTTCGGCCTTGCTTCCACATCTGTGATCTTTCTCACTACAACTGTACTTTCGGGTTCTGGATTAGGGCGTTCTTTCAATTCATTCATATAAGAAGCTGCGATTGCTAACTGTGTTCCGGTTGCATTGAATGAAACGCTCATGATGCCTGTTGGAAACCGGAAAAACAATTTTGATTATGTTTCATGCATTTAGAAATGTTGCAATTCTCTACTCCACAAATTAATGAATTTAATACAGTAAATAAAACTTTGCTGACTAAATAGATAAACGAACTTATGCAGTTGACATATTCGTTTCCTGTTAAATGGATCCCAAATATTTACAAGTGCATCCGAACCTGAAAACAAGTATTCCTACATAAGTGCTATTAACTATTTTTTTCTTCTTACATAAGTGTAATTTGGCTATTGGACTAGCCCGGTTTCCGTAACAACAAAAATGTTGTTCACTTTCATAAACTGCAACATACCTCCAGTAACAAAAGTGTTATGTATGGGATGAAAATCGATGCAGTTTACAGGGTATATCATTTCGGTACCAGATTCATCCTTTTCACGGTGACATTTAAAAGCATATTTGTTTTTCTGAACTTCTGCTGACATATCAAAATATTCCACTGCCACACGCCCTTCAATAGAAGCAACAACAAAAGCTTCGCCATTTGGAAAACATTTTACAGCTCGCGTTTGAAACTGAAAAGAGAAAACTTTAAAACACTCGCGGCATACCGATAAGGAGCCAAGAAAGGCATAATTGAAATGTAACTAAAGATATTTGTTCATGACTATCGATACTTTCTAAAACCGAATTACAAAAAAACAAAGCTTTGTACCAATGGCAATAATCAGTAAATATTATAAATTAAGTCAAAAATAAGCAGTAAAAGTACTTTAAGTGGACTGTCACGTATCTGCTCAGGTTCACCAAGATTGCGCACATCCCATACAATTATTTTACGATCTTTTGTACCAACGAGAATCCGATTGCCGTGTACATCCATTGCATAAACTTTATCTCCATTATTTCCAAACCCAGCAGAACTTTTTGACCGTGGGTCCCATAACTGAACAAAAGACACTGATAGAATTTAACAATAAACAGTTTATTTTCCGTTCCATATTTTCGTTTTGAATAAATCTCAAACCCTCTTCAATTGGCTCAGTAGTTCCTTGTATTTAAGTTATAAATTAACAAAAATTGAAAATATATAATCCCATTTTTCTGATATCAACATATTTAATCCACTCACCATTACTGCAGAATCCCATCCTCCTGAAGCTACCAGGTTGTGTTCTTTGCAATATTCTAGGCACCGCACAGGTGCTTCATGATGTCCCAAAACACATTCAACACCGCTCTCCATGTTATACGTTTTAATTAAGTTATCTAGACCACCACTTGCAATATCATTTTTACTCTGCAAAAGACATAGTTTTCATTAGACTTTGCTTTGATCAAAAGCACTACATACTAGATTACCAATGCATCGAAAGTGTAATAACTCACAAAGAAAGTGCATGCTAAAACGGGCTTAGCATGTGTATATATTCGCTTCTCGAGTGCAGTAACTGGACCAGCAGGAAAATGATAAATGCGGACAGTACCTTCCCAACTTGAAACTGCAAGCAACTGGCCATTATCATCTGGTGAAAACTGAAATAAAAGTAGTTAAAGAGAACATAAAAAATAAGCACTGCCTCAACAGAACAACAACTAAACAAAAATATACTGGACCGACAATCTATATAATAGTAATAATAATGGCAATGTCCATCCACAACGAATGATAAACGTAGAGGGGGAAGGCGAAATCAAACAATCTTCCTTTCTGAGGGAGCACTGGCCTTAACCAATCACCAAACACAGCTGAGATCTCAGCTAATATAAAACTTTAACAGACATTTTTCATTCTCCTAAATATTGTCTGAACGTCTCATTTGTGTAAAAAGCCAAACTAAAAGAAAATTCAAATTTCCAGTAGTCATTATTTCACTCCGTAAAAACTTGAGAAAAACGAACAGAAACATTTTTTACAAATCTTCGAAAAAAAAATGTTACAAAAAAAAAAGAATATTCTATTCGCTAATATTCTAATAGCTAGACTAGTAGATTACAGAAGAAAAACATAAAGAAATACAATTACCTGCACTTTAGAGATTTGCGTATTGCTTGGATGCGGAATTGTTCCCTCCGTTGAACCACCTGCGAAATGAAACATTCTTATTCAGTATCGATCAGATTTGCTTCTTAAAAAAATATATGTTGCACAATCTTGTCACGTATAGGAAATAAACAGAAAATCCCGGGCACATCAAAACTTCAAATCTAAAAAAGTGAACTACCGCACGCAAGACAGCGCTTTTAGTTATTATCTAACTATTGCAGCTCTGCTGCAGGAATTTTAGGTGTTGAAAAGGAAGTGGGTGAGCGTCTATATGACTTCTAGGATGAATGAAACGAGAAGAGGGACAGATTGCTCGGATAATTGTTTCGTCCACTGCATCACACCTTTGCCCTACCCTATTACCTAGTCTACATATTACCTTTTTGGGCAGTTCACTGCCTTTGTGGTGTAACTACCTACAGTGTCATCCAATTTTATCTTTAGCATTTCATTAGGAGAAATGTGGAATGACCAGTAGATGTCTAATCTTTACTATCCTTATGGATTGGTAATGATATTAACTAACTGACCACCACTGGTCATTCACATTTATTATATTTGGGAAAGAAATGAAAAAATAACGAAACAAATCAAATAATTATAAAATATGTTCATATAATGATGACAAGGAGTGAGAATATCGATTAAATCAATCAGACTAAGCAAATTTGGTGATTTGTCTTGAAACAATTTAATTCTCATCTTTTTGTTATGGGACAAGAAAAATTTCAATTTAACTTTAAAAAGTTAAGTTAAAATTATCATTGCTAATCCAAAAACCATCTCAACAATTTACAGCATATCTCTTCCTCTTCTCGTTTTACATAAATATACAGTTACACTTTCACGTGTAACACATAATAATGACTTGTACACTGCAATATTCATACTGACTACTTGCAATTCTTTCTTTTTTTTCTTCGTAGTGCGCAAAAAATTTGCATAAATAGTTTTTGTCTTATGTTCTTTTACTGTGCAAACTGATGAATATATCTTGCACGCATTGTTGCAGTTAGTCATATTGAAGGTCAGTCAGTTGGTTTCTACAGTCTCACACGTTTGATTGTGAAGTCACGTATCTCGTACGTTTAGCACGTATCAATAATTGCGATGATCAGATGTGTACCATTTAATCTTTGACTAATTATTTTAACTTTTAATTATTCATTTACCGTAGTTGACCTTAGCATTAAGAAATGTTAAGGAAAGTAATATGATAAGTTATGTCAAATATAGCATTTATGTAATCAATTGAAATGAGTAAATGAGACAGAAATTTCTGAATACTTTGTAGAGAAGTATTTTTTTTTTTTAAAAAAAAAATAAAGTTAATGATAGGATAAACAAAGTCCTTGATTTTTCTGTAAGAAAGGTAAATTTTTTTTATCTCACCTGAGCTAAAACCCGCTTACAAGGTATTAAATTTTTGCTATGAGATAGTATGAAATTCAGTTTAAGAAAATGAATGATAGACTGAAAAGAGAATTATTTTTGGAATGATTTAGTTTCACTTTTGTACTTTCAACTTCATTAAATGTTAATTTATATTATTGGTCAGTGTATTCTTACAAATGACTCTTAGAACTATTCAGCTTTTCTTATTCTTGATAAGTATTCCCGACATTTTAGAATCGTAGATGGATAGTTTCAATTTGACCGATTGAAGAATAATTTCATAAAAGCAACTGATCTTGAAAGTTGGAACTTTATAATGTCAATTCCTACTTTTTTTTCTTACTCTTCCATCATTTCATTTTAAGTGCTGTTTGTTTCAATAGATATCAAATAAGAAGTTACAGTTGAAAAATAGAAATTATCTATTGCAGATTCATCGAACTCATAAACTGGGGAAAAAAGATGTCGGACGAGCTTATAAAAGTGGTTAATTTTGATGGTTTCATTAGCCATGTCAGTGATTCCGGTGAAGGTTCTGAAGTTATTATTTATGTGGCGCACGTTGTTAGCGATGATTCCAGAATACAAGAAGGAGGCAAAACCGGAGCAGCACAGGATTTGTTTAATTGTGAAGATCATGTCAGCAACAACGACAATAATTTTGGTATCGTTTTCAAAATTTACTTTTAGTATTTTCTACTTCATTCTTAATATTCCATGCCATTGGGATTGATAAATGACAGGACAAAAAAGCCTTCAAATGTCTTATCACTCGTCAAATGGTACTACTTCTCTTAAGTGTTTACTTTTTTATTAAGAAAATTAATATTTCCAGGTACTATATTTACAATTCGGGTTGGACAGTGTGTGGAACGTGTTGCTGCAAAGGATATTTCTGAAAATGAAAGATTAACAAAGGTTAATTGCTACTGTTATGTTTTATGGCGATAAAATATGTAACACAAAAGCGGAATATCTCCTTTGATTTTGAGAATGCTGATATTTTGGATGATTAATACCACTGAAAACTCTTCAAAAAAAAAAAGGATGTAAACAGTTTTTATGAGTTTTTTAGTAATAAAAAACATTTCAATATTGTTTGAGCATCATGAAAATTAAAGAGATATCAGTTGCACAGTATGTTATATCCATCCGTTCAAGGTTCGTTTGATTGATAAGGGAATCGATGTTGAAGTGGAACGAAATGCATTATTTCCATCGACTTCATGTGATAAAATTGATACCGACTGTATGTGTCCCATTTTGGTTATTGATGCTGGTGAAGAGCAAAGAGAAGTGGCAGCGCAAATTAGCGGGCGTGAATGTCGCTGCATTAACGGTTTTATTTTTTTCATATTCAAATCATCCGATTTCCTTACTGTAGCATTGGTAATTAAAACTGAAACTCATTCATTCATTTATGTAATATTAATTATTTTGTAATATGTAAATGCTAGAGTCAATTTTGCAGGTAACTTAGTCGTGATCCCGTCTGTGGGACTTTGTGTTAAAGGTCGATTACTGGTTTCTTATGGAAACGGTGGATATGCAGAATTAAAAGATATCAGTCTAGTACCAGCAGAAGGACAAGAAAAATTTACTATGGAGGGTATGTTTGTACATTAGTTTTTCAAAATAATCATATGATTGACAGTTTTTGCTTTTTGTGTTAATGAAATAGCATTTGATAGATATATCGGAGTCGAATGTCAACATGTCACCAATGCCAAAGCATACAGAACCCTTTCGCTATCATTGTGATTCGATTGCATGCCGTAGAAATGCGCTTGGTGGTAATGGTGAAAAATATGAACAAGGAGGTAACTCTTAAAATCCCTGAAACACGAATTGCAGGATTTTCTTAGATCTGAACACAAGTTTTTTGCTTTGTTCACGGAGATTTACTTGGGAATGAAAAGGACAGAAAAAAAAAAAAAACTGACCATTTTTCATGTTTTGTCACAAATTCCTCAAATTATACTATCAAATTAGTTGACTAAAACGATTCATTGTTATTTGGTTGTTATAGTAGCCAACTTTTTTCTTTTTCATTGTTTAATTTTTTGTTTACGATAGCAGTGCTAAGCAGTGCTAGTCGTTATTTTACTATAATATGAAATACAACAATTTTAAGTAAAAAAAGTTATAAGGCAATCAAAGTTTTTTCTTACAAAATATATTATAGAATACGATGATATGATGAATGCATATGGAAATGAAGCGTGCACTTTCACTGAAAACCATTTTACAAATCAATGCAATAATGTAAGTAGGTTTAAGCTTTTTTTTGCCAAGCAATTTTTTTTTATTTTCAAACTCAAGTTTCTTTTGATTTAGTAATTTTGTTTTTTTCAGCAGTTTGATAGGAATTCAGCAGCTGTAGGAAACGGCATGTCTTTTGATCGCCGTAACTATGATGAAGGCTTTCCTGGTGCTAGGTTTGATTGTGATCGCGGTGCGCCATTTTTTAAAATTTGATTTTTATTTTCTTAGAATTTCTATAAGACATCACTGATTGTTTTTATATCTAATTGTATTTTGTATTCAGAAGAGATGGATGACATGTACGTCATGGAGTCGAGATCTGATGTATGCTCAGCAATTTTAATTTTCTGCTACTTCTTTACTTTTTTTTTTGCTGTTTAATTAAAATAATTCAAAAAATACATGATCAGTGTGAAGTAGATAGTTAGCTATGATTAACAATTAGAAATATGGATTTTGTTTTATCAGCAAAAGATAACATCGCAATAAAAACTTTTAGTAAAAGTCAGAAATAAAAATTATAAGTTTATGAGAAATGTTTTTGTTTGTTTGTTTGTTTTTTTCAGCTGCCATACAAACAACACGCATTTAAAGAATATGTGCCGTATGTCTATCCCCGTACAATGCGCATTCGTTTTGATAAAATTGATTCATCACTAGCTGATACCTTTTCAGTTTTCGAACCGAACATCTTTACAACCGTAGAAAGAGTTAGTACAGTACAACTTTCTGATAAACATTAATAATTTTTGCCTTTTGCAAAATCTTATATTTTGATTTTCTTAAGATTCTTCATGAAGGACGACAACGCTACAGTACTTGCCCACAATTTGACATGTCACTGGTTCACCAGTTAAACGGAGTGGGTTGTTTGGTGAAAGCGAGCGTTGACAGTGGTTGTCGCTCTTTGTGTCGTGCTGAAATAATCAAATTTGCGAACAGCACAAATAGGTTCCTTTTTGAATTTTATTTTCTTTTTTCTTTTACTTAAATGCATAACGAAGCTATCAGTCTGTGGATTCCACGGATGAAGGTGATGATGTTTGCCTTATCTTAAGATTTTTATTTATTCTACTTTTATTCTATTATTCTCATATCTGGTTGATGTTCCGTTCAAATAACATTTCCGCTCAGCACTTTCATTTTGTCTAGTAATGAAATTATCTCTTTGTAAATGAATTCCAGATTCTCTGTATACTTGGTTGACTATGGTTTTTACAAATGGATTAAATTCAATGATGTATTTGACATATCAGTGATTAACAAGGTTACTTTGCTTTACCTATTGCTATACATTACTTTTAATGAGCTCAAAAATAGTAAGTTATGTATTATGATGAAGTAGAAATGGTATTAAGTTACAAAAAAAGAGAGATTAGCATAGAAAGCGAATCTAAAGGATTGATGTCATGTACAAGTGATACTGAATATATATATATATTGATACTAAATATATAAATAAATATATATATTGATACTAAATATATATTAAGAGCCAGAGACAATCTTGACAATTATTTTTTCTTGTCTTCATATATCATTATAGCAAATTGTTCAATTTCAGAGAGATAAAATTCTATTCTTACCGGTAGCTTTGTTTCACTGTCGACTTGAGAAATGTGCAAATGGAATTCGTTTGCAGGTAATTCATCCTTATATATTTGAATTTGCTTCTAGGTAATTCAACTCTGAATTAGTTTATCCTTTTTTCATTCAGACTATTTTCATCCTTGTGATAGCTAATAAGACTAAGTTTTCATTGAATTTGAATTATGATTTATTCAAATGAGTAATCCGTTAAAATTATGTAGCATTTGGAAAAAGGTGGCGAATATGAAATTACCATCAAATCACGAGATTCAGAAGGCATTTTCAACGTGCACATTGATCGAATCGATGATGATGATGGTAATGAAGACACACTGACGAACACCCGCGATTCACTTGTTTCATTTAATTTTAACGGATACAGTATGTTTCTCCGGTTAACAAAACTCAGTTTAGATATAAAACAATATTAAGGATAGTCATACGGAGTTCTTGAATATCTTGAGCTTCATATGAGTTTGAATTAGAACTAAATAGACTGATAATTAGATTAAGAAATTTTTTAATGAAATATATCTACGGTTAAGATTACTTTTATGGCACAAGTCTATGAATGCTCTAAGATGTATCCATAAAGAAAGAGAAATGCAAATTTTATATAATAACGTGCAAGAAATCATGCAGAACTTCAGTGAAAATTTGTTATCTCGAATACTAGATTGAAATCATCAAATGATCTTAATGACTATTGTAATAATTTTTTTAATGTGGAAGAGAACGCACTCAGAGATTTTTCACTTCATTTGATTTGTGATTTTATAATTTTACAGTAACTTTTGAAGGTAATTTCTTTGCTCCATGGTGTTCCTGCTCATCATTGCAATGTATTAGCAGTGCATTTCTGAGAGCATTCCAAAGAAATATGGAAATTGGTGAAGTATTGCGCAGAAATTCTTTGATGAGCACAATGATAACAAATATACCTTTCGGCACCTGGTCAAAGTTTAATTTACACCTCTCATTATGATATAAAAATAAGTTAGACAGTGTAAATAGGAAACAAAATGAAATTAATTACGACAAATATGAGTAAACTATGGAGAGAATTTTATCGTTTTTCTACTACTTAATATTTATCCATCAGTTTTTAGCATGACAACATAAAAATAAAAAGTTAAAAACAAATGGAATTATTTTCAGTGAGACAAGTGTAGAATATGAGAAATAAGTTTTTTACTTTTTTTTTTTTTTTGCTAAAGGCCAGGTATTTGTGGATTTGGTATTCCATATCCTATGATCATGCCTGTAATGGTGCCAACAATACTTAATTTTGGTGAGATAATCAGCAGAAACCAGGGAAACCGATCGTTTGCACAGTTTGGTCAAGGTGATAATGCAAGGGATTCGTTTTTCATAAATAAAGATATGCGCACCTCATACAGGTAGCAATTATCGTATTTAATATAATCGGGAATACAACAGTTCTTTTTTATTTGGTTTTGGAGTATGAACACTCTTATGATATGCGGTATCTGTGTGCCATGTAATACTATTGTTGATTTCTCGGCAGTAAGGTACAAAATTTTTGAGTTGATGGAAATTTTGTACCTTATTAGTAAATTATAAAAGGAAGTGTAAAAAGTAAAAGATATCACATAAGCTTTTAAGAAGAGGTTATGATCGCTCCTGGAACTGTGAGGAAGGTAGATATCGTCCAATTGAGTGCAACAGAGAGTTCGATTATAATGACAATTTCGAAGAAAGCATTAACTTGCAAAATCGAAATACTTTTGGCCAAACATTTCATCGAAATAACGGTTGTTGGGGTAGACGAGGAGAGAGAAATATTACAAACAGAGGTTGTCGATCTGGAAAATACGGTCCTCATATTAACACTGACGATTTGAATGCAGGTTCATGTTACTTATTGAAAAACTTTTGTAGTTTAAAAATATAAAATCAAGAAAGAATGCAGCGCTCTATTTGTTAATATAAGCCACTATGCTAGTATTTCGATTAAACAGTGAGGAACTAAAATAACCATTAGGTTACTTAAAAGTTAGATGGCTAATGTTACAAAGTGTCAAAATTAACAACCAAGAGCCATAACATATATCATTACTGCACTGAATCAGCTATTCTGGTAATCTTGATGAATATTAGCTAGAGTTCCACTTTATATTTTTTGTTAAATCTGAAGTTTATTTTCAGCTCACGAAAACTTTTCTTCGGACGGTCCTGAATATGCCAACCCTGATATGGTATGTCTCTTTAATACTATATTCATCTACTGCATTGTTGTTTCAATAAGATCATAATATATTCAGTTTTTTTTTTTTTTTTTTTCATTATTTGTCAGTTTGACTGCAATACATTCATATATTTATTTTTCATCGTAGTGTCTATTTACAGGAGAATAAGCGAAGCGAACCAATTGCGTGTTCAGAAAGCAGCGAACAGGAAGTATGTCGAAATTAATTTGCAATTTTTAATTACTGTTATGAATGAATTTTGCATATTTTTACACCTTAATCTCTTATCATATTTTATTAATTCTGAAACAACTGCAAAGGTTCTTCAACATTATTTATGGGAAATGAGTAAATTGCATTTTATATTTCCTCCACTTTATATTTCACTATGTTTTAATGCAAATCGTAGTGCAATCCTTTCTTGTAATTATGAGAACATGCGAAAATACAACATAGAAAGCTCAAATGAACGATTTTAAGTGAAATTATTGTGAGAATGCAAATGCATTCGTTATTATTTAATGTTTCAGTTACCGCCGCAACAAAACCAACATGTAAATCCACTCGCAGATTTTGACAAGAACACAACCGGAAATGAATCTTAAAAACTGATTTTTATTCTCGATTGAGTATTTCTATCTGTGTACCAGCTAAAAATGTCTTACTGATTTAGTTTCTCTTATATTCTTTTTCACAATTCTTGTTATTTCACTATTTATGTTTGCTTTTGTATCTTCATTTTCTATCTTGTTTTTTTTTTTTTTTTTTTGTAACAATTTACTGCTTATATATTTCTTAATCAAAAGAAAAACTAAATATTTTTTAAACAATGGTTTTAGAATTTTCATGACTATGCTAGAAATATTTTTCTTGCAAACAAATAGGAATGACACGTGGGTATTGGCTACTGTGATTTATTTAAAAATCGTAATGATTGAAATCCGCTTGGAAATGGATGCAATAAATTATTATTCAGATTCAAATTAAATATAATATGGCACAAACAGAAATTGGTTTTTAAAGGACTTTAATTGAATGAAAGAGGTGTTGGATGAGTTTTTTTTTTTTTTTTTTTTTTCTCCGTTACTGGAATCTCTGTAATTGCAAAGTAAATGTTTATCGATTTAATGTCTGTTGCTCTAAAAAAAAAAAAAAAAAAAAAAAAACAGATTTTTATTAGAGTTTTTTCAAAATGCCATTTGTTGCAGAATGGTTATCAGTTTAAACATTTATGTTTCTGTGTTCCTACTACTGCATAACTCATTAAAATGTAATTCGTTAGTTCATACCTTAAAATAATTCACGCATCTCAAAAAAAATTGAGAAATTGAGATTCCACTAATTCTTAGTGGAATTTTTGATTTCTTACTTTGTTTAGCGTAGAATTTTAATTGTTTGGAAGTCATTTTTTTAGACTTAATTGATAAAAGGTTAACTGTTATTAATTGTTGTTAATTGCTACCTAGGATTGAAGTAAGACTTATAATGATGAATCAGCAGTATTTGCATGAAATGTGTGATTTATAGTCACAGTTAGTGTTGAAAATTCGAAAAACTCAGATTGAAAATTTGGAATCCATTTTTTGAAGAATGATAGCCATAGAAAGCCAGTAAAGTAAACGTTAAAAGTTTAGAGATGGTGAATTTATTTACAGGAGGTCAGCACCGGTATTCAGAAACAACAAATGATGTGAAATGGAACTAGACGAACTGAGTCTGTTCATGTAAAAAGCTTATCATTATGGACCTCCATAAGCTCAGCTTTCAATTTTTTGTTGAATTAATAATTATTATGAATCAAAACAGAAAGAATTATTACTTTATTCCGAATACTTATGAGTGACTGATTAGCCTAATTGATATAAGAGAATGTTTAAGTGCAAATTGGCTCGCATTAATTGCCAATCCAGTTAAGCAGTACCGGAACTATGCATAATAGTTACCGGGAAGTATTGATAGATCACATTTATTTATCGTCTAACATGACGAAGCATTTTACCTTCATTATCACTTGCAATAATAAATTCTGATGGTTTATTTTCATTAATTGTAATCGGTTTACCAGGGGTCGTTGATTTTCGCATGCAACTCTTCTTTGGCTGTAGTTATTGTTAATAAATTAATTTAATTAAGAAATTATACATCATACAATATTGTTCTTTTAAAATTTCAGGAAAACATATTCTTTAACAATTATTTCAACATATTTCAACTCGTTTTATGAGTTTAGCTTGCTTGAAATTTATTAGAATTCAAATGAAAGGATGTTTCAAATTATTGTTGATGTTATAGATCCAATGATAAATAATGGAAACTATCACAACATCATTTTCAAGAAATTGAATAATAAATCGAATTAAAAAAATATTAAATATGAAATTTGAAATCAGTGAATCATTATTAAGCAATTTAGTCAATACTATTAATTGCAATGAAGAATAAAATTATAAAATTACTACCGGTATAGCCTTCTTTAATTTCTGTCTCTCTCGAGCCGCTATTTCACGTACGTCACTATTCATTGCAACAGATGGAGCCTGTGCCGCAGATGCGGCAAGTGCACTCTGAACCCAATGTCGTGCTTCCATTGTCTCCGGACGCTCAATAACCATGGTAACAAAACGTTGTGATTGAAGACTTTTGAGGAGCAGCTCACGGCATACATCTTTATCAGTTACTGGACGTCCATCAATATCGATGATATGATCACCGATCAGCAATTGCTGTGCAGCAAGCGAATTCTGATCCGCACGCGATACTAATACACGATTCTGGTAGTGCTTAATACCAAGACCAAGCTTAGGACCACCAGGTTTCCAGTCAATTCGAGCAACCTAAAAAATAGAATTGCATCACATTAAAAATTAAAAGAATTAACAATTAATTATAATTCTTTACTAAAAGAATTAAGAATTAATTGTATCCTTTATTTTAATAAAAAAATACATTATTACAGTGAATGGAATAATTTTTATGATATCATCTTGAATATTACTATCAAATTATAAAGATCAAACTTAGAAAGAAGCTTACAAGTTTCAGTCTTAAAGCATCAGAAAGATAGATTATTTATTAATCGTAAAACACTACTCTTTTTCTTTCATCTATTTCTTTTTTTTTTTTTTTTTTTTGAAAAATAATTTGAATTTATATTTTATATAAATGAGATTTAAAAATAAATATTAATTAATATTAGTCATTAAAAGATAATAATCTTATATTTTAATTAAAGTGAAGAAAAAAAAAAAAAAAATTGGAAGATACAAAATAAGTGTATCCATCGCGACGTATGATTAATCTGGCTCGTTCAGGTGGTATATGAACTTTAGCTTCTAATTCAGCTGCTTTCTTTGCATCACGTACCAGAATAATTGACGCAACCGGTGGAGCAAAACGAAGTAACTGATAAAAGTGATCCGTGTCACGTACTATCGTATCGTTTACCTTAAGAATTTGATCACCCACCTGCAATCCATTAGGAATAATATTAATTTCTTTAATTTCTTAGAATTACTTCATAAATAATTTTAAAATTATTCCATAAATTGCATACATATATATAAATTTTCCGGTAAACTTAAGTCAATTTATATTTTTTGTTATCAAATCCAATCAATCATTGAGAATTGCACAAATAGCAATTACTTTAAATAGATAGCTAGGCCATTACTTGTCTTTGGCTTCCTGTAAATGATAACCTTAAGCTTTCCATCTGCTAGAGTACCCTGTTGTATCTTGACGATTACAAGTTTATCATTAGGTACAGCACCTAATGGATCACCATCTTCCATAGGTATCACAACTACTATCTCTTTTGACATGACACTGAGACTAGATCACCAATGTGCAGCACCACTGCTTCTCACGAGTACAACTGAACCAAATAAATAACTTTTCAATTAATCTCTTCATTTATAAATAATTATCACTTAAAATCTGCATAAAACTGAGAACACTTTCACTTCAAACATTTTTAATGCACGAAGAATTTTTATAAAATTATCTGAATGCCTTTCAGAAATCATTCAATTTAAGTAATTGAAATTCTAACATAATTAGTGAAAATTGCCTCAATCAGATACAAACCTATCTAGTAGCCTCGAAATAATCTGAACCAAATTTTCCAAAACTTATTACTCTAATTTAAATAATTTATTTTTTTATTATTTAAATAAATGTTTTTTTTTTTTTTTTTCAAGAAAATCATGAATTTCATCAAAACAAACTATCAAATTGATTTAAATTGCAAAATTTGCATAAAATTAGAGCATGGCTTTTGTTGTGTTGTAAATTATATTATAAAAACAATGCAGTGGAAATTGCACTAGCACAAAACTTTTCAATATGCAAATTTATTGGTGAAGAAAAAAGATGCAAGGGCAACAAATTAGGGAAAACTTGAATAAAAATGGCAATATAAGTTTTTCACATTATTATATTGGAAAGAGGAGAAAAATGAATTCCAAGAAAATTAGCATCTCAAAGATAACAAATATTTGAGGGTCAAAGAGAATATTTGCAACCAAAGATTGTCAAAATTTCAGTGGAATAGATAACATCAGATTTTAAGAATAATTAAGTCAACAAGAAAGAAATAAATTACAAATTCAGATCATATGAAAAATTAGCAATATTAGTGAGCTATGTTGTAAAACAATTAAATCTTGAAAAGAAAAAAATGTCTTATTTCACAACAATTACATAATTCACATAAATCTTTCTTATTCATATTAAAATAATGATTATATTAAAGTATGAAATAAAATGTATATTTTAATTACTAAATAACTTATGTATAATGATTGTCCAATACAGCATCAAAACAGATGGTAATACATTGTCCACAAAATAATCACAAATAGTATCACCAATTTAACGATGAGATACTCATGGAGTGTATCATTATAGCATGATAATGAGTTGATATATATTTAGATATATCTATATCATTCATTATCGATATACTTAAATAGAATTGTGTTAGCTATAGAAAGATAAGTTTAAAAATCTTTGAATTATTATTAATTCAAAGTAAAATTAATATTTTACATTCTACGAGCATCATCTGATATATGAAAAACAAGAAATGTAATAATTGCCATGGACAAAAAGTATATATCTATGGGCGCGCACTCCTTCTAAAATATTTCTAATATATGAGAAAACGAAGTTATACAATAATAGATCGTTGCATGAAATATAATATACATCGATCTGTGGAAGCGCAATCACCCGTTAGTTACTATCTTTAGAGACAAATTATACATTGTTGAATTTATGTATTATTATAATACAAATCGATAGCATATATGTATGCGCGTGTATCTTCTTCAGCTGATACTTTGCCTGTTTCTTCAGTGTACATCATTTTTAGACAGTTTTAATAAATTAGTTGTTGTAATATTGTCAGAATAGACAGTGAGATCAAAAAGTGAACAAAAACTGTTTCTCGATGAATAAGCAATCCATTATTTTTATTTTAATTACCATTTAACAAAGATAGCGCCACTGATGAACCTGAAAATAGCTTTTTTTTTTTTCTGATAAATGAATTTTCTAGCAAATAGTCCAAAAATTCGTATAAACAGTATATAGGTTAATTATACATAATTTCAGTTTCCTAATTTGTTTAAGATTTATTAAGCATTTATTTTATGATTTTTATTTTTTGTTTCCATAACATAAAAAATCAGCGCTTTAAAAAAAAAAACTCCACTACTCTGTATAACAGTAAATAAAAATATTATATTGAGGAGTTAATTTGCATGAAATATCAACATATTATAAATTAAAGGTAACCTTCAAGAAAGATAACTGCTTTTGCTAAATCTTCTCCATATTGATTACGTACTGCACAAAGATATTCACCAAGGTGTTCATTCGCTAGCTGCAAAATTGACAAAGTTGATGTTGTTGCTGTTGATGAAATTTCAATACCATGCCGTCCATTTACTAATTTCTTGTCATCATGAAACCATGTTACTGTTGGTTGAAAACCCTAAAATAGTTAGACCATGGTAAAAAACTATGAAAACGACAGCTGAAATAATTGCATGAGGATTAAATTGAAAAGAAACTAAAAGAATAAGACATAATTTCAAAACTATCAAATATCATTTGGAAACAAATCTCGTGCTGTTAATCATCCAATCAAAGTATATAATTTATTCAATAGTTGAAGAGTATTCTCAATAATTAACAATGATAAATAGTATTACGCACTTTAAAGCTACAAGTTAAGCTCGCTTTCTGTCCGATTGCACTTTGAACCGAAATTGGCAATTTGGTAAATCTTGGCATAACAGCATCCAGACTAAAATAAATCATTACTTTTCGAGAATTAATATAAAAATAGACGAAAAACTGTGTACACTACCAAAGATACAATTAATTAGGAAAATTTCTAATTAAAAAATGTTTTAGTTACTTCTTAGTGAATAAAAGCAGCATAATTGTAACGTGGAACAATATATCCTACCATAAAAGAATAAACACAAACACAAAAAGAAAAAAAAATTCCGTCAATCAAAAATAAGTTTCGAAATTTTTCATTGATGCAAGACAAAATAAAAATATCTTTACTCTGTGATATAAGGTACAATTTTCACTAATCACTAATAAAAAACTAACATCAAAACACTTACTCTGTAATTTCAGTAATGTCAACGGTAATTATTGCTTTAGCTGTACCAGAAAGATTAACTGCTTGCAATTCGTATCTGCCACGATCTTCGTTGGTACAATTACGAATTGTCAATGTGAACAATTCTCCGTTGTTCGCCATCTGAAAAGAAAAATGTTTTAATTTAACCATGAAATATTCAATATATGGTATATATTCTGAAGTCATAAATCTATTATCCCAAAATTTATTATCAAATATTTAAACTAACTTTAATATGCAACTAGTAATAAACTATTACTTGTACTATTACTTCCACTAGTAAACTACTAATAAAAAATAAAAAACTACTTCTACACTTCTAAAAACTAATACTGTAAGACTCATCAACTAAAATTTCTGCAAAAATTTTAACCAACCAAAATAAATGAATGAAAATTGTTCTCCTATGATATAATTGAAACAATCATATTTATCCAAATATTTTTTAACAAATAACATACCTGATATTTTTCACCAGAAGCAATTGAAACCATATTTTTAGTCCATACAACTGCTGGTTCAGGATATCCACGTACCGTTACTGGTAATGTTAAATCATTACCCTGCTCAACGCTTACACTTGTTGGTGCATTTACAATAACAGGCGGATTTTCCAAACCACTTTTCTTTCTATGCTCTTAAAATATCTTTTTAAAGTATTTGTTAAATTATTTTTGATAAACTCACCCAGCATCTCTGTCGTAGTCTTAAAACTTTCATTCATACATACAAACAAACAACAAAGAATCTTTCATGATTTTAAATCTAAAAAGCTTTTAGATCTTTTTTTTTTTTAAATGAAATCTTCCAATTATGCTATCTAGATTAGTACTTTATACTATTTCCACGATTTCATTTTTAAAAGGTATGATTAGTCTACCTGTAACAACAAGGCGTACGTTACACTTAGCAATGCCAAATTTATTTCTCGCTTCACAGGTGTATACTCCTGCATCTTCTGGAAATGCATCTGCTACTGTCAAATAACAATTCGCTTCCTCACGTGAATATTCAAATCCAGTGGAATCTTGAATCTCCATGTTATTACGCATCCATCTTATCGTTAACGGTTCAGAACCTATAGGAGAAATTGGATTGAAAAGAGAAAGTTCATTAATTAAATTGAATTAAAACGAAAAGCCATTTGTGTGAGCACTTAATCAGTTCCAACGATTGAATTGATCAAATTGAAATTAATCTCGTATTATTTAAATGATACTAAGTTAACAAACCTTCCATTAATTCAGCAAGAAGAACCACTTTATCACCATCAACTGCTTTAATTGCTTCTCGTCGCCCATCAATACGGAATTTTGGTGGTGTACCACCGGTCGGAGATAACTTTTTTGGTTCAACGTCAAGTTGCATTGCTGTTTTAGCTTCACCTTCTTGATTTTTTGCAATGCAAACATATTTTCCAGCGTCTGATATAGCAATGCTAGTGAACTTTAGCGTCGTTGTCTCACCATCATATGATATCAAATAGCGGTCATGCTCAGGTACAAGTATATCACCGTTTCGAAGCCACTGGATTGTTGGAGCCGGATAACCTGATACACTACACTCAACCGATACCGGATCACCGTTTGTCGCCTATAAGTAAGAAAAAAAGAACTTATGACTAATAACTTCATTTCTATCATTTGAAATTAAAAATTTCCAGACCAAAACATCCTCATAAGATTGCTTACCTTAAATTTGCCGGGTAACACTTCAATGAAAGATGGTACTGCCAGTCCCTTTCGAAGTCTTTTTGTCCCATCACCTGGTGTAACTTCAATTTCAGCGGTACATGTTACAAAGCCTTCACTATTCCAAGCGGAACAATTATAGAAGCCTTCATCGATCTTGGACATGTGATGTACCTGTAATAAATTTTGTTTAGAAGGAACTGAAAATTGCACAAAAGTAAGCTAATAAATTTTGAAATTTCGAACTTGCAACAAACGACCAGACGAATGTACGTAGAAATGAAAAGGTATGTAAACATGAAAGCCGCACAAATTTACCACTTTTCCTTTAACTTTCATATTAAATAGATTATAATGAATTTAAATTTGCAATTCAAATTATAACCTAACCTCAAGATAGTAGAAGTCACCGTCATTGTAAATGGAATATTTATTACCAGTTTCCAGTACAATACCGGCTTTATCC